ACGACAGTACATCAACACCAAGTATGACCAACACCCGGACATGTTTCGTCAGGACCTCGAGGTCATCGACGCCCTGCGACGAGATGCGGTCAACGTGAGGGAACCGCACCCTAGCGGCGTGAAAAAGCTGCAGGCCTATGCGGGACAGCTCGTGTGGATCGGGGGCAAGTTCCCGATCGACGTACGTCTAGCAATTTCCACCCAAACCAGAGAGAGATGGTAAGATCGCTAACGCAGATTGCGAACAGATCGGGGCTGAGTTTACCTGGTACCCAGCATTGGGTTACAACACTGAACGACCGATGGTGCGAAACAACCTCAAATACGAACTCATGAACATTCTCTACAACTTGGCCTCCCTCTACTCCCAACTTGCGGTCGCGCAATCAAGATCTGGTACGGAAGGTCTCAAGACGGCCGCGGGCCACTTTGCCTCGGCGTCTGGAGTACTAGAACATATGCTGAAGGAAGTCCTGCCCGAACTGCGCATGTCTGACCCGCCCGAAGACATGGACGCCAACACCCTCGAGTCTCTGTCCCAACTGCTCTTGGCACAGTCGCAAGAGTGTTTTTGGCAAAAGGCAGTCATGGACGGGTACAAGGATGCCATCATTGCTAGGCTGGCCGCTCGTGTCTCCGATCTCTACAACTCGGCGGGGGAGGCTGCTATGAAGAGCGAGGCGATCAGCTCTGCTTGGATCCACCACATGAGCGCAAAGCACCACCACTTCGCTGGTGCGGCGCAATACCGGGCCGCATGCGATTGTCTCGAGAAGAGGAAATATGGCGAAGAGGTTGCTCGCTTGCAGGACGCTGTGAGCTGTGTCAACGAGGGCTTGAAGGAGAGTCGGGGTGGCTACCTTAATAAGGCGGTGCTCGAGGATCTTAATGGTCTGAAACGAAAGGTCGAAGAAGATCTCAAAAGGGCAGAGAAGGACAATGACGTTATCTACCTTCGTAAGTACCGAAATCTAGTAAACAGAGGTCGCAAGGCTAACTCGAGAAGAACCTGTACCGCCAAAGTCGGAGCTCAAAATTCTTGACAGAGCCAATATGGCAGTCGCTAGAGTGCCTCCGCAAGTAGCCAACCCGTTTGACTACGTCGGGGATCAGGCCGAATTCGGTCCAGCACTTTTCACAAAACTAGTTCCGTTCTCCGTTCACGCCGCCATCACTATTTACGAGCAACTGCGCGATCGCATAGTCAACGAAAACATTATTGGTCAGATGGAAACGCAGACAGAAAAGCTTCATGCCATGCTCAGCTCCATCAATCTCCCGGGTTCGCTGCAGGCACTTGAGAAACCGCTTGGTCTGCCTCACAGTTTGGTCCACCACGCGGAGGAAATACGGCAGGCAGATGCTATAGGAAGGATTCAACGGGCCTTCTCGGATATCGATAAGTTACGGACTGCCGACATCGCCATCTTCAACGAAGGTAAAGCGATACTGGCAGCCGAAGAGGAGGAGGACAACCGAATGAGACGGAAGTACGGCACAGACAGATGGTCAAGACCGGAAAGTCGCAGCGACCCCCAGGGAGGCCAGTTCTGGGCTCAAGTAGCCGAGATCGAAGGCTACTTTGCGAGCAGTACCAGCAGTGATGCGGTCGTTCGAGAGAAGTACAAGGAGGTACAGGACTTGCTCGAGATGCTCTCTGGATCCGATCGAGCCATCATGGACTATGTGCCTTCATCCAGGCGCATGGACATCCCAGAGCACCTGAAGCCGGTAATAGGTAGGCTTCGGGGGGCTTATAATGATGTCCTGCGACTTGAGTCCAAAAGGAGAAAAAAGGCTGAGGTGCTGCGGGAGAAGGCGAGGACGGACGACATCAAGCCGGATATCCTGAAAGAAGCTGCACGACTCGAGAGAACATACCCGACAACAGCAATTGTCCCGGCCCACTTTGAGGACTTTTTCGAGAAGCGTCTTGACAAGCTTTATGACTCTGAGATCGAAGCGGTGGCCAAGGAAGAAGACGAGCAAGAGCGCCTCATGACTGAGGTGCAGAGAGTCAACCGAGAGTTTGAGAGTCAAAAGAAGAATATGTCGAGTGGTAGTCGCGAGCGGGAGCTGGCACTTCAGAAGCTTGACAATGCCTACTACAAGTACAAAGAAATCGTCAACAACGTGGACGTCGGTCGCAAGTTCTACAATGACTTGAGCAAGGTCGTGGGCCAGAACTTTCGCGATCCTGTCAAGGCCTGGGCTGCAGAGCGGCGGATGGACGCCAAGAGTCTTGAGGAGTAAGGAATAACCCCTCTGCGTATCAGCTCACCGTACTAACTAGTTTATAGGGAGGTCAGCATGCCGCCGCTCAATTCACTGAACCTGAACCGATCCCCGGTCCACTCCCCGACCGGCTCAAACTACGACCCGCGGCCCCAATCCTACTTTAGCGCCAGCGTCGTCCCCGGCACAACAGCCCAGCAGCAGCAGCCACCGTCGCGGCACGAGGTTCACTCTCCCGCTGAGGCACATATTCAGTCATGGGCCGGGTCGACTGTCGAGCCCCAGCACCCGAGACCCGCGGCGGCAATGTCGAACATGTGGCAGCCGGATATGGGCATCAAGTTCGGAGCTCAGCCAGGTGCACCAGCACCTCCCGGCGGATCAACACAAGGCCAGGGCCCGGCAAGCCAGCCGCCGCAAGGAGGCACCTGGAACCCGTCCTCTGGGATCAAGTTCGGTTAGGACACGGATCGATTCCCACCGCCTGCAAAGAAGGGACGGTGAAGAGGGAGGTGGACGGGCAAGTCCGATGGAGGCTTCCATTTTGTCGGCTTTGAGCGAGTAGTTTGGCGTTGATGGGTTTGTGTCGTCTTGCTAGATGTACCATAGCTCCGTCGCAAAGCACGCTTGTCGTGTTTGCGGAATGAAGAATACGTATGTGGTTCGTTCATGTATACTGAAGCATACTCAAGCATAGTCGAAGTACTCCGCAAATGTCGAACCGCCAGATGATTTCTCGTATGGATCCAAAGGGAATTCTAAACCTGTTGCACACGATGTCTTGCCAGTAGACCATTAATCAAAATTGCCTCTTTGAGGGCTGTGTGGACTACTAGATCTTTGAAGCGCGGAGGATATGCCATTTCACTAGATGTTCCTTTGGAAATTCGTCCCTCCCCCACCTATCATCCATTCCAGTGTTCACAGCGAAGCGTAGGGTTCAGAAACATGCGCTATGACAAACAACATTTGATATCTTGAATCGACACAGGTTCTTAAGAGAGACTCGGGGTGGAGGCGACTATGTATGGCTGGAAGCGGGATGTCCCAAGGGCGTGGGACGCTTGACGGTATTATGTAGATTCCTCTAGAACGGAATTGGAGGTGAAGAAAGTTCGGCGCTATTTTTAGTCTCATGGCTTTTTGGAATGTTTTCTCCATTTTTATGCGCCTCTTGTCTCTTTTTTCTTTTTTTCTTGTTCGGCCGATAGGAATTGGAGAAATGAAGTCTGGGGGTTACATGGCATTTCAACCGCAGTTGACCGCGGGTTACAAGGCAAGAGAGAGGGGAAAGACCAAACACGTGATAACGTGCTCTTGGAACCGCTTGAATCGGAGCCAATTTGAAATCAGTAAGTGCAAGCGCGACGTTTTGCCGGGGAAAGGGTTTGTGAATCAGTCGGTGACGTCGCTGAGTCAGTATCTGCCGAAATCATTTCGGACATGATCCGCGGTAGCCGTTGAAGAGTCTGCAATTTGTACAAGGTATGCAGTTGCCGGTCAGGGAACAACTGCCTCATGTATGTATGGGTGGCCTACACGGAAGAAGGTGACGATTTTGAGAGTATGAGTTTGTAGATGCTGGGCATCATGTTGTCGTGGCAATTGTGAGTTTTGTTTACTTGGAAAAAGTAAAGCTTGGGGAGCGGCAACGCGGCAGGCAATCGGGCGATGAGCCAAAGTGGAAAAGTTCAAAAATTCGATCCTGACAGCCAACAGAGATCGGGATCGGTTGAACGCTACCTGGGTACCTTATTGACAAGAGGAGAAAAACGTCCGACCGAGTCATTCCATTGGTCTCTTTTTTCCTTTGGCTGTGGACGCGTTTCATAGGCCGCTCTAGAACGTGGGAGAAGGCCCCAAGAAGAGACTGACGGGTGGATCTTGAGTGAATCTGGAAGGGGGAAAGAGGAGGGGTATGATGTCAGATTCTCTTTGGTTGGAAAGAGAGCCTCGCCCACCTACTGCCAACCTCCTGCCACCCTATGGGCTGTGTATGGTGTAGGTACCACAACAAATGGATGTGTTTTCCTTCGGTATCCATTTGCGGCATCTTTTTTTTGGGGGATGGGGGGGGGGCATCTTCCATTCTTTTTTTTTCTGCCCTTTCCACCATTCCTTGTTGCGTTTACCGCCAGCCTAACAGTTACCGCCCTGCCGTCACCGCCGCCGCCGCCAACAGAGAGAAAGTCGAAGAAATAGGAAAAGCGCAACGCCCGGAATGGTTTAGGTGACACTTCGCACTTGCCCGCCTTTCCGCATTCCTTCCATGCCCCTCCCCCTTCTCCAAATGCACCCCGTGGCCACGCGAAGTTCACGAGCGTAGTGTTGTCGCTCCCCGCCGGACTGTCACTCCGAAAGGCCCCTTTGGACAGGAAAAAAAAAAAGAAACCAACCTAAGCAACAAAGCCTCGGAAAAAAGACGCAGAACAAATCTGAAATCTGAGGAGAGAGGCATAGAGAGGTAGGCCTAGGCACGAAAGCCGCCAACACCGCCGCTCCCCCCTGCTTGCGACCCCTCGACATCGAAGCACGGCTACGCTCCTCTCACTCTCAGTCTCACACCCACTGCCCACTGACGCTCATTCTCATCCTCGTTCTTACTCTCAAGTCTCACTCGCTTTCCTTCTAACTCCCTCGCCAAACCCGGCTCACCTCACATACACACGCTCCCGCAGAGAACCGCACCCGCCACCCCTGTGCGGTGTGCTGCTGCTGCTGCTGTGCGCGCATCCGCGTGTGTGTATTTTCTTTCCCACATTCAAATGTCCGAGGCCCAACGCGAGCGGGAGGTCCAGCGATATCTCCAGAGCTGGCAGGTCGCCCAAGGTTCCTCCTTCAACGTCGCCCTCAATGTCGATAGCATCGCCGCCCCGGACTTACATGGCAACGGCTACAAGCCAAAGGCCTCGGCCGACAAGGCCCTCACCGCCTTTGCTCAGCTCGCCGTGCTGAAGCTCGACGTCAAGCGTGCCATGGTCTCGCTGATCGATACCACCACCCAGACCATTCTTGCCGAGGGTACCCGTAGCGTTCAACTTGGAGACTTTGAGCACCTGCAGGATTCAAACAGTAGTGGTTTGAACGACGCCGATGAGACGAATGTTGATAATGAACTGTGGCGTACGTAGGCCTCTCTATTCGGGACATCACATCACTCAGTCCCGGCCGCGGCTGCGGTTGCGGTTCGCCTCCGAAGCTATCCGCCGTCGCAGCATGTCGACAGTCTTCTTTACAAATGCTGGCCTCATGCTCGAATCTTATTTTCAGTGTGCATTGTCGGGCTCAGACATGCGGGAAGGAGGGGGCGGATCGTTTTGGGAGGTCCTATGCTGACATTTGTGATTTCCATAGTCGGCGCCACCATCCTTTCTCGTCCCGATGCCGTTTGCGAACACTCAATGGTGAATACTTGCACAGGTTTAGACCCCAAGGGCCGCCCGTATACGGCGACCGGACTCATCGTCAATGACTGCCGCCTCGACCCTCGATTCGCGCAGCGCCCCTATGTGCTCTCGGAACCCGGCGTACGCTTCTACGCTGGCGTGCCCATCATCTCACGCAGCGGCCACAAGATTGGCTCCTTTGCCGTCTCCGACGAACGACCTCATGATGGACTCACGGCGGAGGAAATTCGGTTCATGCAGGGCGTCGCGCAAACGGTTATGGAACATTTGGAGTGGGCCCGGGATCGCGTGGATAGGTTCAAGGGCGAGCGGATAGTGCGAGGACTGGCGACGTTTATCGAGGGATGTTCTACCATGAACGAAGATTCAAATCCTGTCAAGGACGACATACCGAGGAGCCCCTCGACGGTACGGCCACCGGATATGCCGCTCATCTCGACGCGACGGCCGATGCCCAGATCGAATTCGTACTTCCGCAACGCCGAAGCACTCGTCCGGTCTCGAGAGTCATCAGCGTCTCGTCAGCAAAGCAATACTACGGAACCTCAGGGGCCCAGCACCGAGAACCCGCCATCGCCCAAGAAGGCATACCAACCGAGGGCCGACGGCTTGTCGAAACTCTTCAACCGCGCAGCGGACGTCCTTCGTCACTCGACGCTGGCTGACGGCGTAGCCTTCTTTGGAGCCACGGCAACGACTGCTACTCCCGGAAGCCAATCAAGGTCGGGCAGGAATCAGTCGTCGGACGAGGAGGATGTCACACGACCCGCCACATCAGGCTCTGGGCTGGATAGCTCCGACTCTGACACCTCGCCCTCCGCCAGGCCCTGCAAGATTTTGAGCTTCTCCGTGGCTGATGAGCGTGCGCGCGCGCGCATCGAGCAGGGCCCGGCGCTTTCACTCGGCATTCTTGAAAAGTACTTTTCCATGTTCCCCATGGGCAAGACCTTTTCCTTCACCGAAGCCGGGCTTGGGGTGTCATCTGGCGACGACAGTGCTAGTGACAGGGAGACAATGGGCGTCGACGGGGCAGCGCCGCCTGACAAATCCGAAGGCAGACGGCGAAAGGTCAAAATGGTTCACGAAGAGCTCCTCAAAAAAATACCCGGAGCCAAGACAGTGGTCTTTGTACCACTGTTCGACTACGGTGAGGACAGGTTAGCCGGCGGGTGTTTCCTCTGGACCTCCGTCACCGGCCGCATGATGAATCTCGACCAGGACCTCTCGTACCTCCGAGCCTTCAGCAACAGTATCATGACCCAAGTTGGCCGCATCAACAGCCAAAAGAACGAGGCGGCCAAGACGACCTTTATCGCGAGCATGAGCCACGAACTCCGCAGTCCCCTCCATGGCATCCTCGGATCCGCCGAGCTTCTGCAAGATACCAGCACAGACGCGTATCAATCGGGTCTCATCAGCTCCATCGCCACCTGTGGAAAGACGCTGCTCGACACGCTCAACCATGTTCTCGACTACAGCAAGATCAACAGGCTCGGGCGGGCACAGATGAGACGGCGCGCTAAGCAGAACCAGAATAGGCCGGCAGCCATCACGTCGGACTCGCTCGAAAGCTTGAGCATGTCCTCCGTAGTAGACCTGGCTGTTCTCGTGGAAGAGGTGGTTGACGCCATCGCCGCGGGCCACGCCTTCAAGAAGCTCGTCGGCGCGGGCTCCCTGGATGGACCCAAGCCCAGCATCAGTGTCAAGGAGACGAATAACGTGAGGTCGGTGGGCAACTTCCAAGCGCCGGGGGCCAAGGGTCCTGTGTCAATATTGTTAGATGTCGACCCGAAGATACCTTGGTTGGTGAAAGCGCAGCCAGGCGCCCTCCGGCGGATTATCATGAACTTGTTCGGGAACGCCCTGAAGTACACGACACAAGGCTACGTTCTGGTTTCTTTGACCGGCCAGGCGAGGTCCGAGGGAACAAAGATCGACGCCATGATACGCGTGGCGGACTCTGGTAAGGGCATGTCTGAGGAGTTCCAGCAAACCCGACTGTTCCTCCCCTTCAGCCAGGAGGATTCCTTCCAGCCCGGCACGGGCCTAGGTCTTAGCATCGTCAAGCAGATTGTTGACTCGTTGCGGGGAAGCCTCGAAGTCAGGTCCGAGCAAGACAGAGGCACCGAGTTCGACGTACACCTCAGCTTTACATCGGCATCCGACGAAACGGAGGACCCCCGTGAACCGGATGAGGCGATGCGCAGCGTCGTCGACGAAACAAGGGGGATGAAGATTGTCCTCCTTGAGGAGGAGCGTACTCCTGACGCACCGCCCATGACGAAACACGCCGCGAAGCTGAACCAGATTCTCACGGAGACGTGCTCCGAGTGGTTCAAGATGAAGGTTGTTAAGGAAAACCCCAGCGAGCCACCGGATGCCGATATGTACCTCTACTCTGAGCCTCCCTCGGTGGAGGTGCTGGAGAAGCGCTTCAGGGAGAATTCGCGGAGATCGCCGAGTCAGAAGAAGGCACCCTTTATCATTGTGTGCCCGACGGCAGAAGAAGCAGTCAACATTCTCCAGGACCACAGCAAGCTGTTGTTGGACTTTTCAGAAATCGTCGAGGTGATACCGCAGCCGTAAGCAAACAACTCCTGGATTTCTTCAAATCCGTGTCGATGGCTAACTAATGAATGCAGATGCGGCCCGCGAAAACTGGCCAAAGTATTTAGCCACTGTCTCAAGCGGGTAGAAGAGCTGGAGAGGACCCAAGCAACGGCACGCAACTCATCCGGGCTGCTAGCCCCGATACCGCTCGCCCCCGACGGCACCACCCCCGGCACCACCCCCGGCACCAACGAAATCCGCCAAGTCGAACGAGTCGGCACCCCACTCCACCAGCAAGCCAGACCAGAACAACTCGAGCCCGCCATGGGCGTGCAACCCCTCATCAAACCCCTGGGCGCAATGGCCCTCTCCCCGGCCCTCAACGGCGGCCAGCCCGTCCTCGTGGGACAGAAGAACGTGACGCTGCACGTTCTCCTGGTAGACGACAACCAGATCAACCTCAAGCTCCTCGTCATGTTCATGAAGAAGTGCGGCTTCACGTACGAGCAGGCCGAGAACGGGCAGGAGGCGCTCGATCGCTTCATCGAGGCGTCGAGCTCGTCCATTGAGGCGAGCGCGAGTAAGCGGCGAAGGTTCGATTTTGTCTTGATGGATATCAGCATGCCGATCATGAACGGGTTCGAGGCGACAAAGAGGATACGCGAGTACGAGCGGGAGCATAGGTTGCAGGCCACGACGGTGGTGGCGCTGACGGGGCTGGCGAGCGCGGATGCGAGGAGGGATGCTGAGACGTCTGGGTTTGATGTGTTTTTGCCCAAGCCGGTGCGTTTTGCCGAGTTGCAGAAACTTCTTACGGCGTCGTGATGGGTATGTTCTAGAACATTGACTGCTCGAGGCGGTCTCCATCCTCTTTTCTCTTCATCCACTAGCATAATATACAAAGACGCTTTCTAGGAAAATAGACTAGGTCGTCTTCAACGTCAACTATGTACTTTCAGACCTGACGAGAGATCGTTCACGGTTTTTCTCAAGTAATTGACGGTTACATGGTTTGTAATTACGATACTAAAAGACAAATACCACTTTTATGCTTCTTCATTGCTACCTTTTCGTGCTTGTCTCCATCTTCCCGTTTTAATACTTTAGGACCCCCCCCCCCCCCCATCTATGAGTCTAGGACAACACCTTCACGACTGATGAATCATCTCAAGTACCAGCCGTTCCGTTCGGTTCTTCCCCCTGTTACCCTTTCGGGACATAATCTACTCCTCTTGGGAAAGAATAGGAGCCGCCGCAGGATCGTACGAGGTCCCGAAGCCCTTTGCCAAGACAGCACACGCGTCATGGACGAGTTTCCTGCTAATCTGGTGCACACTAGAAGATAAAGAAGTCAGCATATCAGCCCTCGCCCAAGCAAGCAGCGAGCAAATCAACCCAAAGTAAAAAAAAAAAAAAAAAACCAAACTTGTCGAAAAGAAAACATACCCAGCAAGCACGAGCACAGAATGCGTCGCCCCCTCATACACCGCGCTCTCGACCTCGACCCCATTCTCCTTCAACAGCTGAGCATACGCCAACCCCTCCGTCGTCAACAGATCCACCCCCGCGACAGCGAGCCACGTCCTGGGACTCTTGGCCAGCAGCTCGCGCGGCGCGAAGCACGGGGACGCCCGCCACTCCTTCTTGTCCTGCTCGCCGCGGGAGAAGTAGAGGTCTTGGTACCAGCCCATGCGGGTGGGCGTTAGCCAGGGGACGTGGCGGGTCGCGGACCAGCCTGTTGAGGGGGTTGCGGTTGAGTCGATCACGGGGCAGATTAGGAGTTGGGAGACGGGGGGCGGGGAGATGGGGGTGGGGGAGAGGGTGAGGTTCATTGTCAGGATTGCGGCGAGGTTGCCGCCTCTGGGTCGGGTGTCAGTGTTGTTGCACATGGTTTGTGGATGATGGGATGGAGGGGGAAGGGAGAACGAACGCTGAGAGGCCGCCGATTGTGACGAGGGATGTGTTGATGCCTAGACGGGAGGCGTTGGAGGGGTCGTAGAGCCATTTCAGGCCTGCGAGGCAGTCGTCTACGGCGGCTGGGTAGACGTGTTCCGGGGCGTGGCGGTAGTTAATCGTGACGACGACGCACTTTACATCTATTTTGATATTCTATCAACACTCATTGTGTCATGTTTTCCAAAACCTTCATCTCTATATGAAGATCTCATACGGAGAGGGAAACAGGGGAGAAAGAGATGACTAACATTTACAGACATGCGTCAAGAAGCCATTCTCGCTATCCAACCCCCCATTCACCCACCCGCCGCCGTGAAGCCAGACCAAGCACGGCCAGCCGCCTTCAGGCTGGTTTCCCTCGGGGACGAAGACGCGCACCTGGATCTCCTCGCCGGGGATATCCTCGTCCCACTGCTTGCCGACGGGCGAGAGCTTCTGCGTGGTGTGCGCGAGCGGGTTCGGCGCGGACCGCGAGGCCGGGTCCCAGGGCTTGGCCTCGGAAGGTTCCATATACTGGATGATGGAATCGTGGAGGGCGACGTACTCCGGGTCGAGTTTGGAGCGGACGGAGGGGTGGATTGGTTGGTGGATTGTTCGTGAGTCCGCCATTGTGTGTTGAGGTGAGAGATGATGCCTGTTGGTTTAGTTTGATGATATCGTCTCTTGATAAGTCAAAGTACACCTCGTATGGGGTGGTGGTCTGTCTGCTGGTGTCTAGAGCAACGTTGTTGAGCTTCACGTTGGTTGGATGTTGAAAGTTGAGAGAGGAATGAGTGAAGTTGAAGATAATTGACGTGATTGGTGAGGTGGAGCTCTCCGAGGTTGGAAAATGAGGCTTTTTAGAAAGTTTGTGGTGGACGGACCCTTATCCCACCCCCATCCCGTAGCTTGAGATTTGCCCGTTCTCGGTAATCTTCGTTGAAATTCGTATGGAGCGTCCCGCTCGCACCGGCGCTGGATCGGACGGGCAGAAGGACCCGCTGATCCACGATTGAGTCAAGATTTAGCGGCTTTGAGTCAACGCCCAGGCATCGAAACACGCCAACTTCCGCGGTCACGATGATGAGGTGAGAGGCATATGGGTAAATAAACAAAGATGGATGGTGAGCTATTTGCTAATGTATGAGAGATATGTACGTAGAGGTGCATGTCGTGTAGTTAGAAGAGTTGATTCCGTACTTTTCCAAGATCAATGATCCTCGTCACTAATCTTTCTTCACCCCATCTATCTAGGTGGATACCGGAACAATACACTGCTTAACACATCCTCACTACCTCAATCTCTGTTACTATCACCATCAAGACTCTGTTTTCTTCTTCTTTTTTGTCTCGAACCAGCTCTTTACGTGTTCTCTCGCGGCTATGCTCGTCTAGCAGAAACGACGCCGTCAACTGTTGGTAGCAATTCACGCCTGATATATCACAGCACCTTGGAGAAACAGAGGAAATAAGAACATCGATAGAATACGAAAGGCCGTCGATATTTGCTAGCAAGTTATCATGTCAACTACTTGTTACCCTGAGGTACGCATGATAGACTGACCTTATCATCGCACTCCATAATATTCGAGGGAGATGACGGGTCCGGGCTCGGCAGGCTTGATGAGAACTGCGCCAAACCAGACTCCCGGCTGCATGAACACAATAATCCATGATGAGGGAAACATTGAAAGAACAGAACAAAGTGACGATGAATTACTGCTGAGGTTTTTCTTCAATCAACTTCAATTATACACATGATTGGTGTCACTTCTTACGAGATAGTTTTCGGGTAATAGTGAGCATGAGGTATCAAGCCAGGTAACTTGCAAGGTGGTTAGCTACCTTGTCTTATATGCAATTGGAAGATCAACAGCCGGCTGCCACAAATTATGCCAAAGTGGCGGCTTCGCAGCTGTCTTGCGCAGATTGAGAAGAGGGACTCGACTTATTATAGAAAGAAAAGAGGAAGGAAAGATCATCGCGGCCTTCCGATTGTGCGGAAAAGCGCTTGGCTTGTGAACGGAAAAGTCACGGCGTGATAGGGCTTGGCAAAATGGCGATGCTGATACTGCAACATGAGCAGGCGTCACCGCCTTCTGACAATGGAGCAAACGCCAAGCATCGAAGCAGGTCAGCCGGTTTAACGACCGCCGAAGGAATCGAGTTCTTCTGATTCTCATTCCAAATATGCCAGGGCAGCTACATCACCAGTCGTCCTTCTGATTGGTGTATAAACTTATCGGCAATTTGGAGAACACGAGTGCCGAGTTTCCAAAGAAACGACGACATCCTGCATGCAGCCTGGACAACTGGAAAGGAGCCGATAGGAAATACTCGACATATTCCCAGCTGACTACTACCGCTCCGGCACACGGATCGTTGTGAGGCAGCCTTACTAAGGCACGAGTGTACAAGAGTTTGTAGATAGGTACAGATCGGGGATTACTTAGAAAGTAAGCATCTTGTTCTCGATCTATGGATACAGATGACGACCGAATTTCGTGTGAAATAACTATGAAATTCAGTTCGTCCCAGGCTACTTAGACAATGTCCTGTAAGGGGGTTCCCTGGTGTGGAATTAAGCATAAGGGCAGACTACTGGGCTTCCCCGCTCCGGCCGGTCTCTCCTCCCGACCCTCCCCGCAATCTTCAAGGTGAATTGAGCAGGTACCCCTTGGCCCCGCAATATTAGAGAGCTCTGCTTTTCCGTCAAGCTGCAGAGCTTCGAACCAACTACCTACTTTCTTTGGTCCGCGGTCTGGCATCATGCCTCGCTTTCTTGGGTTGATCAGATGCCAAGAGTGGCTTCCAAGCTGCTACTCTATGCTCACATTCACGCATCGGATAAGCAGAGCTGCAGATGGAATGGAACCACAACGACTTAGTCAAATTGGCCAGCTCTTGGCCGATCTTGGACGGAGTTAGAGTGAGGGGAACCTTGAAGATGGCAGAACTTCACGAGATCTCTTGAGCTTGGTGGTGTTCTCATTGAGAGACAGGCTTTTGTATAAATAGTCAACCTTGGGGGGTGCCATGATAGTATACTACCCTCTTCGGCTCGATCTTCATCCTCCAAGTTATTGACTCGTCGGTAGCCTCAAACTTCTAGCTGAGCAGCAGTCAAGTAGTAGTCAACATGAAGATAACCTCACTCGCAGCCACCGCGCTCGCCAGCGCCGCCCTCTCCTCCGCAGCAATCTCCCTCCCCAACGGCTGGTTCGCCATCGCTCCCGACGAGAAGCTGAACCCCGGCAAACTCGACGGCGAACCCCGGTACCTAACATGGATGGCCGACTCCCAAATCAAGCACGGCGTAGAGCCAACCTACGCCTACACGATCTCAGCTTTCTACTCCGGTGTCTTGCGCGCCTACGAGCGGACCGGCGACCAGCGATACTACGACTACGTCAAGCACGCCACAGACATCCTCCTCTACCCTTCCCAAGACGGCGAGATCCTCCTCTACAACAACAGCAACTCCATCGACGATATCCGCTTCGGTCACACCTTCCTCGACATCTACAACGCCACCGGGGACGAAATCTACAAGACCGCCGCGCAGACCCTTCGTCACCAAATCGACCGCACAGGCCGCTCCCCGGACGGCGGCTTCTACCATCGCTATCCCGTCTACATAGACCAGATGTGGCTCGACGGCATCTACATGCTAGACGTCTTCTACGCCCGCTGGACCGCCGAGTTCGAGCCGGATAACACCACCGCGTGGGACGATATCGCGTTGCAGTTCGACCTCGTCACCGCGGGTACGATCCTGGGTAACGCGACAAACGGCCTGCCGCTTCACGGCTTTGACTGGAGTAAGAAGGCCATCTGGGCTGACCCGGAGACGGGCGCCTCGCCTAACGTATGGGGACGCGCTGTTGGGTGGTACGTCATGGCTCTCGTCGACACTCTTGAGCTTTTCCCCCTGAACCATCCGGCCCGCGAGCGTCTGGTTGGGTATCTGCAGCACGTCTCGGACGCCGTTGTGGCTGCGCAGGATGAGAAGACGAAGGGGTGGTGGCTCGTCATGACGCCTGGTACTGAGGGCCAGTGGGGAAATTACATTGAGAGCTCTGGGTCCGCCATGTTTGTGTATGGACTTCTGAAGAGTCTTCGCTTGGGCTATATACAAGGCGGCAGCTATCTCAGGTCTGCACTTAGCGGTTACAAGTTGATGACGGACACGTTCTCCGAGACGCGCAAGGGCGATAATGCTCTCGTCTGGGGATGGACTGTGCAGACGGGCAGCTTGAGCTCCAACGGCACGTTTGAGGTATGTGAAAGTATCATTCCGTGCTATGAATACATTGATTGGCCCTCAATTCTGATCCTTCTTTCTAGTACTATGCCAGCATGCCTCTGTTCGAGAACGACCTCAAGGGTGTTGCTCCCTTCCTCTTTTCCAGTTATGAGTACGAATTGTACCTAGAGCAGAAGAAGTAAAAGCCGTGTAATGAGAAATCAAATTGCGATTTGCCTTGACAATAAAAGTAGAGAACGGAGTCCAGCATGCTGGCGCAGGGGACCAATAGAACAAGTTTTTGTACGATGAGCGGTCACTTTGAACCACTCTTGTCCGCCCGCTCCTCTCGTCGACGCAGGAGGGCTTTCTGGAATGTTCGTAAGACATCACCCATTCTGTGCCGTATCTTGTTGAGAGTGTCGATGATGCTCGGCTTACGGGGCGAAGATTCGGCCTGCTCCTCCTTCTAGGCAGTAGAGGATTGAATCTCGTCAACCATCTTGTCGCTCTTGGCCGTATCCTCTTTTGCATCTTCATTAAGGCTCACCGCTGCATCCTCAACTTGTTGCGAATTTTGGGGAACATGGGACGGTATGTCGGCAGCCGCCGAAGGTGTGTTGCGGCGGCGTGGGTTCGACAATGATTCGTCCCTCTTCATCTGCATCCGCATGCGAGCTGTAGTAGCTATTTCCTGATCAAAGTCGTCTTCTGGGTTGTAGCCTTCATCGTCGCCATCGCCTTCAAACTTGTAGGCTCTCGGGTCCACAGCAGCAGCTAGCGAGAATGCCGTATACAGGTTCGCCCGCAGATCCAAGAGGTCACAGTCAGGCAAGTCCTTCTCATCGTAGGCGAAGATCCGGATGATATCTCCGCCGACCATAGAATGAGCAGTGCTGTAATCTACGGCTCCAAAGTCATGGGGATCAAGGTCCTCGAAGTGCTGGCGGGGATCAGTGTCGAAAGGTATGGTTTGCTGCATGTTTGGGAACTCCGTCTTCCGAAGCCAATGGAAGATCAACGTCAAGACCCATCCGGTCTTCATTTGAGGTTCTTCAGTCGGATCTTCTGCCGGAACTGGAATAACCACCTGAACTGGGCGACCCATCGGTTTCAGCATAAACTCTCCGGTGTACCAGAGCGTGCCCATTTGGAGGTGCATGCAGATCATGTTACGACGAGTGTTGATGATGTTTTCGTGGCAAGACTCCGACGTAAGCTTCTTCAGAAGCGCGTCAATGCGTTCATCTGTATGCCAGGATCTCATCCCCTTCAGTGACTTGATTAACTGGGCTCTCGATCTCAATAGATCAGGTGGAATGATGTGTATCACATTATAGACGTCGGCTCATAGCTTTGTGATGATGCAGCGGTTGCTGTTGTGTCGGAGAACCTTATGTGTGAAGGTTGTCAATTCTGCCTCTCTACTTTCACCAATACCTGTTGAGGGGCATCTGAGACTCACATGTTTGATTTCGGACGTGTTCCTCAGCGGCTTGGCCGGAGAATACTTCCTGGAAGGCTCTTTCGCATACCCTCGTATAACTGAGCAAAGGATTAGTAGACTAGATCGCAGCGGATTGGGGCGTACCTTACAAGAACGGAGAAGCATTGGCGTTGCCATGGCCCATACCGGAAAATCGGTGAGTAGAAGCCTCTTGGCTTTGGCGCTGGTCATATCATCCAGGTCGCGTCGAACTTCCTTCAATCTCTCCAAGTCCATGGTCATCAACGTAGACCAGAACGAAGCCTTGTCTAAGTGGAGCTCCTTCATCGAGACATCCGTATGAAAATTCTTACACAGCTGATTGATTTGTTGCACCAAGACGATCTTCTGGTCGAGGTCTTTGAGGTAGTCGCTGTCCGGGAGATGAGCTGGGTACGTCGTCAATCTTCGATGGAGTTGATCGAGATCTAGCATGGAGGGCTTGCTATTTTACTGTCAGTAATCTTTCAAGTACGTCCATGAAAATCGGCGTGATATTTACCAGCGCCCTTCTCGGCTCAAGAAAGCTTCCTGCAATGCTTGCATCACGGGTATGGCGGCTAGGTTGGCGGGGTCGGGATTTCTGTTCAGTCTCAGTCATCTATCAAGTGCAGTAGTATCTTAATTGGTGGGATGTACCCTTGGGAGTCTGTCCGACTCAAGTATTTCTCCAGCATTCGAGAGAATACGGGCTTCATAGCCACGGCCACCGGGTTAGGGCCGGATATGCTACCAGGTATCGGTCCCCACAGGTGGCTTCGGAGAAAACGCGAGATGGAAGCATCATCCATCGAAGCGAGGTCCATCGAAGCGAGGTCCATCGAAGCGACGTTCATCATGTGTAAAGAAGAGGGAGTGAAGCTGGGAAAGTACTTTAAACCGACTCTTCTGAGGTGAGGCCTGTTGCGAGATGAGGCCTAAAGGTGGGGGAGGTGAGAACAGAAGGTGAGCCGGATCCTCAGATGGGTGGTAGGAGGCAGGTAAGTTAAACGGGTTGGTGGGTGGGAACAAAAATCTGCGAGCGTTGGGAGGGAGGTGAAAAGAGGGCACGGAAATGTTTGCCTTGGAAGGCACCACCTGTACTTCGTTTATTCTCGCTCCTTCCCTACAGGCTGCCGCCTTTTTCTTCCTCATTTTTGCTTCCACCAGACCATCGCTGTCACTATTTTTGCTACTTTGAATGACCTCTATCGCTAGATCGTCTGATACATTCTCCAAAGAACATATATACAATGACAAATAGAGAGACACTGATAAGGGCAGCTATGATAGTAAGGAGCTTGATTGAGCTTAAGTGCCATGCGTTTCCTAGTTGATTGACTGTTTGAACTAAAACTCGATGAGGAAGGGAATGCCATCTATGAGCTTGTCTTCAAGTCATGGATTGAAGGCAGCCGCTCATACACTGCCTCGAAGGGCAGTCAAAGTCAGGAAGTCTAAGACTATCAATGCGATCTGGACCAAGGCTTTCTTCTCCTTCTCACGCCCTGTATCCCTTTTGTCTCAGAATTTTCTAGAACACAGCTGGACACCCCCCCCCCCCCAAGGCCAAGGCGCCTTCCTAAAGGTTCGTATCCACCTCTCTTTCTTCAAGTTCAACCTCTATTCTACTGCCAAGCCCGATTTGATTGTTCGGACTTTTAGATCTCATCATGATATTTGATCATTTGCACACTCAGTAACATCGCAAGAAGGCCATGAGGAACTTTGATATTGCTCAGCATCTCACTGATTCTATGTTTTGACTCACCAAGTATCAGTGGGCAACTTTCGTATATCATCGCATGTATAACATCCATGTAAACAGTTTATTATGGGACCTAAATGCGCCTCTTCTTGTTGGCGTTGTTGTTGTTGTTTCTGTTCCTTCCGTTCCTCCCAGTGCCAGTGTTACCAGTATTGCCAGTGTTGCCGTTCGTCGCGCCGCCAGCACTAGCACCGCTTACACGCTCGCATCTCTCGCCGCCATCGCCATTGCCACAACGGAGGGGTAGCAAGCAGCAGCCATCGGGGTCTGCGAATTGCTCCAGTCCGTTGGCGCCCTTGCCGAGGGATTGGCAATCAGGTCCATCCGGGAAGCCGCATCTTAATTCGAATACTTGATTAGCAAGAGAATTCATCTCAAGAGGAACAACATGATCAGCCTGGACTTACCCATTTTGAGCGAGGACGCCGGCGGAGAAGAGGGTGAAGATGATGGCTGAGAAACGCATTGTCGAAGTGGTGTGACTGGAAATTGTGTAATCGAAGATTTCTGCGCAGCAGATTTGAATTGGGAATTATAAGATCTAAGTAGGTAAGAAGCACACGACAAATGCGGTTGAGTTGTGATGGTTTGAATTGAGACAAAAACTATGAAGTGAGCAACTCCTATCTACATTTATAGTACTTGAGTTGATCCTATTGACCATCAGCTCGGCTATGATCTGCAAAAGTCTCAGCTCCTAAACATCTTGGCTGAAGTCCTCAGCTGTTTTGCCAGGTAGTATCGCTTACTCCGAAAGGAGTACTCCGTTCTGGATAATACGGGGTAGTAAGCCCATTCACAGAGCAGGCCCACCCGCGGATCCCCTGCGAAACTCGGCTCTAAAACCAAGCTTAATGGAACTCGGGTCTTGATTCACGGGGTGTGTCAGGATTGGGCGGAGCCATGCTAGGTTCATGGTTTTAAGCTTTAATATTCGGTTCGTTATGGAAAAAGAAACTGAGAAATTTTTGAAGATTGCGGATAGTTGTCTTGCGGGATATCTTTTACAAGAGCTTGGAATGAGGTTTTGCGAATCCAGGATAATAGATCCAGTCTGGAGTAGCCTTGAGTTGGGAAATTGACTTTTGTATGGCAGCATCTTACATAGGTTTCATCCAATGTCCAGGGTGGTCATTCGGCAAGCCAGTACCGATATGTACTGTCATGCCAACGAGAAAGATGCTGAGACGAGGGATAGGCCCAGCATCGGTGTCATCCGATTTCCTGAACTACCTACCCTGAACTACATTTACGCGGACTACGCTTGTCATGCAAGTTGACGTGTGCTGCCGTCTGAAAATTCCCGGTGAATCTTGTGCGTGCTTTCGTCAGTGCGTTGACTTTGTCTCAAATGATGGTAATATGAGCTGGGAAGATGCCTTCGGTAGTCCACCCAAAATCTAAGATGAACGCTCGGGTTTATCACTATTCGAAATTCATCGACCGTGTCTTGAATATCTACGGATCTATGCTTCAATCCAACAAGACAGAACGTGTGTCATGCATTGCCTTAATACTTTTTGCCAGCGAAAGACGAAGGTACCACCGAAGGTAAGACGATGACGCAGCCTAGCTCTTGAGTTCGACTGTGCAAGTGTCTTTCCTGGAAGCAGGTAAACAAATGGCGGTATAGGCAAGCAAAAAGTAGGTATGTGGTGAATATCTCATTCAAGGTAGCTTTAGCCCTATTCAGTTCCAAGCCCCTGTACGCGAGGGCTGATGTGAGGCGAATCCGGGGTGGAAGTTTTCGAAACTTGTTCTATACATGAGAGGACCCATCGCATCAACTCAGGGGTGATAAGCCTGCCGAGAAAGGCGAGGGAGTCGGGCATTCCCCGTCACTTGGGTTGAACCAAACTTAGAGCACATGCACGTGTAACTTTAGATGTGCCTCACGGCGAGAAGACTACATTTGTACAGCGGGCCGCCGCGACGTGCGGCCGACATGACTTGAATTGCTTTTTCTGCCTGTACCACCTTCATCCGCATCATATTCATCCTTCTGAACTGTGTCTGTATTGCTCATACTGTTTATGGACTTTGACGCCTCTATGTCTCTTGCTGCCCACGACCCTCGAGAGATCGCTCGATGTAAACTCAAAGTTGGACATGATAGTCAATAGCTTAATTGCGTAGGTCTCGCTCTTCGTGGAGCATCAAACAACTGTTTTTGGGTACAGCAAAAGGGTGCGCTACCTTGTGCAGCATGTAACCTAAAGCTTCGTCAGAATGGTCTAAGGTATTTGGGGCTCTGTGGGCACCTACTGCGATTGCGCATCCGTTACCCACATTGTAATTATCCCCATCGTAACTGTATCGCAGCTTTTCCTGACTCTGGCCAGCCTGACAGACAGCGTTCGTCAATGCAGTACACTCAGAAGCCGAGCCTTCCTTGTACACAGTGCCTCGGTAGCTCTGTGTCCGGCAAGACGCTGCTGACGCAATCGTGGCATATAAACCCACAACAGCGAGGGCCTTTGAGCACAACATTTTTGAGGCTTATAACTACCACCTGAGGTGTAGAAAAGTTGTGAGTGTCGAAGGAAATAAGGTTGAATATGTGGTGAGGGTCTCAAATTTTTCCAAAACTAAATATTACGCTTGAATAGACTACCTTATGTTAGCAATATGATCCCTATGGCCTGACGGAGTTGGAGACTTACTGTTCTTTAAAGGTCTTCTCAAAATTCCATTGCGATTCTGGTTCTCTTCCTAATTACTTTCCTTACGAAAATTGAATAGGAAAGACACCGTGAATAAGATTGCATGCTCAGAGATCGGCAGACCAGGTCCCCGGTTTGTTAGAAGAAGCCTGCTACCTACTTAGGTATTGCCTTCGCTTAATATGAGAGACTTTACAGAGCTTCCTACTTACAGGGTTTAATACGAATCTTGACTTGCTCATGACCTGGAGTTGAAAATTTAGCTTAAAGTTTACCTAAACGACAGACCATTATGGGTCTAACAACGGGGTGTATCACACATATCTTGCCCATCTACTATAGGCCCGTGCTAGGTCATGCGTGGTAAGTCCTGCGATAGCATAACAAGACCGTTCTCAGGTGCGTGGGCCTTTTCATATTTGCCCAATCTCGCCTGGAAGCAGGTGGGGAACAAGCTTTCTACTACGAAGTTACGGAAAACTTGACAATGAAGACGGGAAACGGTTACCGCCAGATTTATCGGAACTGAAGGTACCCGTTACCAGCTTGTCAGAACGAGAGGGCCGGGCATTTGTTAAGGACCGGCTTTTCGTCCTGTACAACATTAAACTGCGCCTCCGGCTGCTGCGTTCTTACTGTGATTATCCTGCGGCAGGTCACCCCAAAAGAGCAAAGACATGAAATCCTCTAAAAAAACTGTTTCTGGCCGGGGATGAGCCAATCTTGCGCGATGAAAGTCTCCAGACTTCCACATCATGGTCTATTGCAAGCCCTTGAATTTCTCACAGTAAGATGGTAGGGCATCGCTGTCGACTTCATAACAGACCTACCGCGTCAAAAGAACGAGAGAACCTGACAATAGCCACGTAGTCATGACACTCGGTGTAGAGAAAGTGGACGCAGCCTGAGAGTACTCAACTGAACGTGACATCGTTATTGAGATAATCGCTAACACTAAACGCCCCGAGTCGTGACTATCGGCTCTTGTTCACCCTTTCGGGTTCAACATTAATACTCGGCCCGTCTTCGTACTACGGAATAGTCAGAGTATCTTACCCAGTTTTGGATCAAATCGATAAACAATGTCGAAACATATCTTGCTACAAGAATGCCAAGTCTTCGTAGCTCTAATGCTAGCATCCTAAAGCCTTGTCAGAACCATATAATCTCAACCTCATAATAAATGAGTATAAATGAGCATGACAACGATACTACAGTAATCGGATTTATAAATTAAATCAGAATCCTTGGAAGACGTACAATCGAATCGCAAGTCAGATAAAGCTAAGTATAAAGAGGAGATCATAAGTACTGTGAACTGTCACGGTAACTTAGCTGCCGCTAGTGGTAGACGATGTAGAGGTCAAGCGTGGGGATCTTCGAGACAGCTAGTCATTGTTTTGCGTCGGCAAAGTAGGGCACTACG